CAACTTTTCTAATGACACCAAAATGGGTTTCTTTTAAGGAAAGTGCTCAAACTGGGACATCTCCAGTCCTCCATTTTTGAGTCTCACACACAAACCAAAATCCTATTACAAAAGAGGAATCCGCAAATTGCCTGTAAAATGGGCAGAAGTCGACAATAATAATGGAAATTATTTGGAATGAATTGATGGTTTTGTGTTGAATAAATTTTAGTTCAAAGTCCGGCAGTTTTCAATTCACCAACCCAATAGTTTAACTGTTAATCTAAATCTATAATACTATCCACTTTAGAGTATTGCTACGATTTGGCATTGCTTTCAAATTCTCAGCGATAAGAATACCTACATGAGCAAAAAGACGATCAAATTACATCGAAAACATTTACAAGGATTGATTCAAGGGGTTTGAAATCAAAGTTTTTTATTTCTCGGTCTAATTTTTAATCGTTGTATAGCAGAAAAACGAGATTTGATCACTTAAACAGCTATTATTTTTCAGAATTTCTTACAACAAGAAGGTAAAGTTTTATCCTTTGGCCTAAAACCCTACAAATAACCATTGAATTGGTCAAATTTCGTTTTTTTGTGTGCTTATTGGCAGTTAAACGGAAAATGAACTACTCTAATTTTAAATCTTTTTAAGCTCAATTTCTAGATCTTTAGTTCCTGGTCCCCGTGATGACAATCGCTCTACCGTTAGCCGTTTTTGTTTATATTGTTTATGAGAATGTAATTGTTCCGCAAGGTTATTCATTTATCAACTATTTAACAAAATAATATAAATAAATAAACTAAATGAAACCAAATGAATATATTGGCTTGGTGAATTGAAAACTGCCGGACTTTGAACTAAAATTTATTGAACATAAAACCATGAATTCATTCGAAATAATTTCCATGATTATTGCCGACTTCTGCTCATTTTACAGGCAATTTGCGGATTCCTCTTTTGTAATAGGATTTTGGTTTGTGTTTGAGACAAGTGTGAGACTCAAAAATCGAGGACTGGAGATGTCACAGTTTGATCACTTTCTTCAAAAGAAACCCATTTTGGCGTCAATAGAAAAGTTGTAGAGAATCAAAAATTAGGCTTATGGCTGAATTTCCAAAAAGGTACGCTTAGTAGTTTCGCTTAAAATGCAAGTTTTGTGAAAATTCGTAAATTCCGCATTTCTTGAAAACCAGTTTTTGAATCGTTCTGAAAATTTGGATATAAGCTTAATTTTTGATTCTCTACAACTTTTCTATTGACACCAAAATGGATTTCTTTTGAAGAAAGTGCTCAAACTGTGACATATGACAATAGCCCGCAGTTTTCAATTCACCAACCCAATACTTGTTAAGAGACACAAAAGTATCATTTAAAAACTATAATACTATTCTATAACTATAATGCTATTCTATGTAGATCAGGCACAAGTCTTGCAACGCCCTAGACTTATATTATAGTTAAGCCCAACTAGCTCAATTAACTCTAGTTCAATTCTGTAAACAATAGCCATTTCTACGGCTGATCAAAACTTGTAATACCACTTTACTTCTTTACTCAAACTGTCACATATGACAATAGCCGGCAGTTTTCAATTCACAAACACAATATTTAACAAAAAAAAATCTAAATAAATAAATAAACTAAATGAAACCAAATGAATATAAATGGCTAAAAATGCATTTCAGCTTTCAACAATTTCGTCATCGGTATCGCCTATTCTCACACAAAAATCTCATCTTTTAGCATCGTTTTCTCTTCCCAACTTTATCGAAACTATTTGCATCGTTTGATACTAAAAGCAATGCGAAAGTAAGTTGAATCTTTTTAATGATCATTGAAAATTTAGAGAAATCCCGGCTCACCTTGTTGCGCCAAGTCACCTCACTCGTACTTATTTAGAGAAAACACAGACAAAAGTCTTTGCAAGAGTAAACAATCAGCAAGAAGTTTCTGTATCTAATATGAAATGGAAAACAGTTAATAAACATTAGTTTTTGTCACAATTGCACCAAAGACAAGGCCGGTTGCTTTTACTTTTCAATACTTTTTGATGATGCTGCTCCAAAATTTACGATAAGGCAAAGATGTTAAAGAATTCCTGGCATCGTAATAAAAATGTACTAGTCTCGGGCTAATCGCCTTTTATAATCGTTAAAAGTGCTAACTTCATAGGAACCAAATTTTGGTACTACTGATGATTCACAATAGACTTTTAACGAAAACATCTATCGGTCCTTTTTTTGTCGAAAGAATGAACGAAATTTTCGAATTCGAAAGAATGAACGCCAAACAACGACGCGATGTGATTATCGGATTATACCAAGACGGAAAAAAATAGCCCGGAGATCGTAAAAATCACGAAATATCCAAAAAGCATCGTCAACAAAGTAATCAAACGCTACAAGGCTTGATTTTTACTAATTCCCGAAAAGAAATCAATTTAATATTTTTGTTTTCTTTTTGAGTCTCTTTACCGCACGTCGACAGGACATCTTGCAAACAAAGTGGGCTTTGATGTTGTCGAAAGTAGTCCCCGCCCACTGATGCCAACCACAGGACGGGTCATTAGTCATCTATTGAACATTGTCTTTGCAAATGAAGTGAACAAACCAGCCAATAGTAAGAACTGGTTCTAAAATAGAATGGTGCCGGATAGTCAACAGGAGACCCATCAGTCCAGTTGCCCACACCGATCTAGCCATTCCCATCCAAGACCAGGCACGATGTTTACACGAAGCGTCGTTGTTGTAAGGGGTGGCATTTGTAAAACTCTTCACGTTTGCAAGGATTAAAGCTGACAAATAAAAGAAATTTTTTTTGTTAGGTTTGAAGCTGTTTTCCTATTATTTTCCTGAGCTGAGCAATAAGTTTCCCAAGGAAAACCCTACTTCTTTCTGATGGTGCATCATATGATGCACTTGTGTTTACTTCATTTCACATTTACCTTTGTCCCAAAAAAATGGTTTTATTGCTGCACGAAACGCCAAAAAAACAACAAAAAAAGCCAGAAAAACTCAAGATCAGCCCTGTTTACCTAAATAAATACAAATTTCGATAAAAGCAACTTTCAACGATGCTTTTGATTCTGATCTTTTATTCATTGCTTATTTTCTCGGAATGTCGCCCCAGAAACAAGATCCTCTCGCGGATGAAAAGAGCGGAAGGTTGGCTTCTTTTCAAAGCTCAAAAAAAGACTAATATTTTTATTATTACCTGGTACAACATTACAATACAGTACAATACCAGATACTTGGTGTAATATTTGTTTATTAGGTTGGTGCAGATGAAACTTCCGTTGGAACCATAAACAAAATTTATTATAAAAATCCTAATACAGAACCTCAATCCAAAAGATATTCGCCATCATTATCAATGACTCTTTGCCATCTTCCACGCAGAGAATGGATGCCCTTTTCGAAGAACTCGGGCAACTGCGACTCGAAGAAGTTCGACACCCAGATTTCAACTTCTTCGCGGTTTTTGAATTTTTTTTCTGCTAAAGAGTGCTGCATCGACCAAAACAAGTGGTAGTCGGATGGGGCCAAGTCCGGGCTATATGGCGGATGAGGCAGAACTTCCCAGCCCAATTCCTCGATTTTCTGCTGAGTGATCTTTGCGGTGTGGGGTCAAGCGTTATCGTGGAGGAATTTTGTAGTCGCCGTGTTATTGCCTTGACGACGCAATGCCTGGTCCACGCGGCTCAATTGGGCTTTGTAGAGATCCGCCGTGACTCTTTGGCCCGAATCCAGCACCTCAAAATACACGAGACCTTTACTATTCCACCAAATACAAAGCATCACCTTTTTTCCGTGGATATTCGGTTTGGGAGTCGGTTTTGGCGTTCACCGGCGTTCACCGGCGTCCAACCACTGCCGTTTTCTTGTTGTGTTGTCGTAACATATCCACTTTTCATCTGCCGTAACAATGGAGTCGAGAAAACCGGCGGTCTTTGCGCGGCGGACGAGAATTCCAGCCATTGTAGCTCGAGCCGCTTTGTTTGCGTCGCTGAGCTGATGTGGCACCCATTTTCCACACTGATTCGTCTCACCAATTGCGTGAAAATGGCGGAGAATGGTTGTATGGTCGCAGTCAAACAGCTCTGCAAGCTCCCGAGTTGTTTGGCATGGATCCGATTCGATAGCGTTCTTCAACTCATCGTTGTCGACAATTTGAGGCGGATTCCCGCGTTTTTCGTCTTCCAAACTCTCATCACCATCTCGGAAGCGCTGAAACCAAGTCCGGCATTGACGTTCGGACAACACGTCATCGCCGAATGCTTTGCACAGAGCACGATGAGATTCTGCAGGCGTTCTGCCTTGTTTAAAATCATACAACAAGCAAACCCGCACTCGAAATTTTTCGTCAACCATTTTCTAAAAGCTAAAAATTACTTCAAATTAAGTAAAACGCATAAGTCTTAGATATCAAAAGACGCGCAAAGAGACGCTCTTTCAGATAGACAAATATCTTCAATAAAAACTTTTATTAGGTTCAAAATATAAACAAACAAGTGTGACGGAAGTTTCATCTGCACCAACCTAATAGATACTACTCTATTACCCCGTTTTTTCCCATTGATACATGTATGTATGACAATACCAACTATTACTAAATCTAGCGGAAAAAGTTTATACATTCAACTCAAGTTTTGATTTTTTAGTCATTCTTTCAAGTCTTAAGGCTATTTTGGGTTAGTATTGATATTCTCGAATTACAAGTTCAGTTAACATACTTTCTTGCCAAAAAAAGCAACACAGCCAAAAACATTGTGATTTGACTACTTTGTAAAAGATCAGTGTTTACGAAATAAAAAAAAATTTAATGATATTAGGCTTGACTAATTTGAAACAATTTAGTGTTTATGAATGTAAAGATCTAAAAAGTCTAGGTTTAATCGAACTAAACAAGGAAAACAAAACTTTTGATTACTGAGGATGGATGCCGTGTTTATTCATTTGATGTTTTAGAACAATGTCAATGTAATCATACTTCACCAAGTGTCGCAAAAAGAATGATCATCGGCTACGTCGATTTCGGTTTTCAGACACTCAAAGTCAATCTGAGTTCCCCGGAAAGTCGAATCCAAATAAATGATGTGTTCCATCAGATTTCCTCTTCCTCAAAAGCCATCGGCGAGACGACGAATACAATCATCGAACTAAAAAAAGGCAAAAAAGACAATGTTCTCGGCATTGGCCTCAAATTTTTGAAAGCAATCAAAGGGGCGGCCACGATCTTCGGGGCCATCTTCGATCTTTTCGATATTTTCGGCACCGACTCTGTGGGCACAATGCTGCAAAAACTCGAAGAAACAATGGTCAAAGAGTTCGACAAGCTCAAGCATTTTATTGCTCGCAAATTCGACGCGATTGAATACCGAGTCGACTTTCACAATTACCGTGACAACGTCCAGTATCCGATCGACAACGGAATGAGCAAACTGAGGAGACTTTTCGAACATAGACAGCCAAATAACATGAAAGAGTTCAAGACCTGGTGCCAGAACGTTTCGCCGATCGATTTGGCTAAACGATTGCTTGATCAAATCTCGGGACACACATCGATTCTCGACTCATACAAGCGATTGATTGATTTCGACGAGGACCGATACCAGCATTTCGAGAACTGGATCCTCAACCATGTGCAGTCCCTAAAAGTGCTCATGGGGAACTGTGAGGGTGTGCAGCCAGTGTCAAAAAACGGGGAGATTCTGTCGGAATTCGAGACCGTCATCCAAAGTCTTGACACCCAACTGCTTAAAGAGAACCGGGAGTTGGTGTGGCCGCGAGCGATCAAGAAACGAGCTCGCGCCGGCATCGACGCTGGCGGCACAAACGAGCAGATGGCCACGACGATCCACAAGGATCTGAAAAGCAAATACCAAGACAATTTCCTGGTTGCCATTTATGACGTGACTAAAACTGATGATCATGCGCTCATCGGGCGACACGAATCGTCTCACAAGCGAATTTGGCTACAAAAACAAGAACTACGTGGTTTTTCAGGTTGTCATTTAATTCATCAAACCTCATTTACACTCATTACAAAAGTTTTTGTGGGCAATTTTATAAAGTTTCCGGTTTCTCATAGTGATTTCTGATTTCTTAGCGTTAAAAAGTTTTTGTTTTAGAAAGTTTTCAGCTTTTGACGTAGAAGTTTAAAGAAATTTAGCTTTCAGAAAGGTATTGGAACTTTCAAAAGCGTAAAAATCGATAAGAACCAAATAACTGACAATTACGACTTTGATCAGCAAAAAAACCCTAGCTTAAGACTGATCCCAAAAAAGATCAAATTTTGAAAGGTTTTATTTCTAAAATGTGAATAAAATTTGGATAAAATTAAACATTTCATTTTTCAGAGTGACTGTGCGAAGAAGATCAGAAAAGAAAGTTTACCACCAAGACAGTTCATTGGTTTTTTTTTGTTGTTCAGTCTTATGTCGATGGGAAAGGACAAATGCAAATCTGATTGTTCACTATTTTACTATGTTCACTGTTCATTAGATCGCCCTTCTTCCGCCTGCTTAAAGACAATCATCAAAGACAGCAAAGACATCAAAGACAAAGTCGATCGTGCTCTCACCACTTCAGGGTTTGAGCCTCCAAATGTTGAGATCGATTGGGAAAATCTCGAAGGTTTTTTTGATCGAAGGAACAAGCTGTCGAACAAGAACAAAGAAGTCTGGGAAACCTACATGATCTACCTCGAAAAACTCCCCGGAGGTGTTAGGTATGAGAAGAAAGACATCGAATTGGACACCAAGATCTTTTATGATTTTTCGATGTATGCCCAGGATGCGGCGAGAAAGGTCTACAATCACCTCAAATCCGTTCACTCAGCCGAATTCTTCTCGGGCGAACCGCCCATGATCTTAGCTGTTAGCAAGTGGAAGAATTTAAGGTGAGATTTGTCACTGTTTCTAGCATCAAAAAAGCTAGCAATGACGGCTGACGGTTTGGTGATAGGCATTCACTTGAGTCACTCTTATAGGAAGTATTAGACAAGGTTCTCTCAATTTTTAAGTAGTTACAAGTTTTTGATTGGAGGATGATAAGATCCAAAATTTCTTGCTAATGTTTAGAGGTGATCGAAAGGCTGCGTATTAAAAAAAACAAATAGACTATTTCATTTGAATTCTTAAAAATCGATACAAAAAAATGTAAATTTCAAAGGTCGGCCGGCGGGTCGGCTGTTTTCTTCTTATCTCAGCTCAGAATCAACTAGATTTTCCATTTTTTATGATCTTTCTCTAGGCCTTTTTGATTCATCTAGGAAAATTCCTTTTTAAAAAAAGCTTATGCTCAAAATACCGTATTGCCTCTAATAAACGCCGCGGCGTTTATTTTGCGACTAAATTTTAATTTTGTTAAATACTATTTTGCGCTAAACTACCGTATAGCATACTGTTTCGTCAAAGAGCTCAGGCTCAGGACAAATATTTTTGTATTAAACTGAATCTTTAAGCAAGAGATTCAGTTTAATACAAAAATAATTTTTTGTTAACGTGTTCGTTTTGCTAATTTTTATTGTTACTTTTAAGTTGGTACCTATTTCAAAAATGAAAATATTGGTCAAAGTCCATCTTTACTTGAAAAAAGCTAAACATTTTGTGGCTTGCGAAATTATAAACGAAATTATAACTATTGGGTTGGGGACTATGACTCGGCGGGCTATTGTCATATGTGACACTTTGAGCACTTTCCTCAAAAGAAACCCATTTTGGTGTCAACGGAAAAGTTGTAGAGAATCAAAAATCAAGCTTATATCCAAACTTTCAGAACGATTCAAAAACTGGTTTTCAAGAAATGCCAAATTTACGAATTTTCACAAAACTTGCATTTTAAGCGAAATTACTAAGTATATCTTTTTGGAAATTTGGCTATAAGCCTAATTTTTGATTTTCTACAACTTTTCTATTGACACCAAAATGGGTTTCCTTTGAAGAAAGTGCTCAAACTGGGACATCTCCAGTCCTCGATTTTTGAGTCTCACACTTGTCTCACACACAAACCAAAATCCTACCACGAAAGAGGAATCCGCAAATTGCCTGTAAAATGGGCAGAAGTCGTCAATAATAATGGAAATTATTTCGAATGAATTCATGGTTTTATGTTCAATAAATTTGCCTTTCTTTTGTCCGCCGAGTCATAGTCCCCAACCCCATCTAATAAACGCCATGCCTGGGACACTATCGAAAAAATAAACGCCACGGCGTTTATTAGAGGCAGTACGGTATGCACTAAAGACAGTCAAACCGACCGCCTGAAGCATGTTTATTGACAATTAAAATGTCCACAGTAGATTGTGTCTTTTTGTCTACCAGAAACTTCGACAAATTTTCAGGTGGGATGGCGACTCTTGTGCTTACGACCATTATAAGCTAAAGGCAGGTGGCGAATACGTCTGGCAAAAAGATGGCAGGGCCCTGACAACTCGAACGGTATAAGACTTTTAAATATGAATATCTATTTGGCCGCGACTAAAAGGTTTCTCTTTCTCTTTGTTCCAGTTTTGCACCCGAATAAAAATTTCCTTTGTTGAGCGGCATACCAAAAAAACAATCGACAAGTTTAATCAAAGCAAAAAAGTTTTTTTCAACAAAGGTGAAGTAAAAGACGCACTACCAAAGTTTGGATTCACTTTGGAATTTGGCTTTTTCATTGATTTTAATTCGATAAGATCAATTGCAATGATAGTGTATTTTATGAAACAACAACTGATCACTATTTCAAAGTGTTTGAAAAACAAAGTTTTCAAACAACTGATCCCTATTTCACTGGAGAAGTGTTTGAGCGCTTTGTTCTACAAGGAGCCCACATCGAAGTCTTTCTTGATGCTCTTAAAAAAGATTTTGAAAGTAAATTCAAAGATCATTACAATTCCTATTTCCCAAGTCGATTTTTGCCAAGATTCACTCAACAAAAACCCGATTTTTTGTTTCTTAACTACGTCTTTGAGTGAGGTAGCTCTGTGAAAATTCATGAAGTTATCAGAAAAACTGAAATTGATTCGGAAATCCTTAACGACTACGAATCACTACGGACAACTTGTACGGCTTTGAAATTACTTCTTTGCATGACTAAAACTGAAGCAATAGATGGTCAGATTATTCAGCAAATCTAAGCCTGGGCTGCGCTGAAAAGATCAAGGAAATGTCCCAATTGGTCCAATTTCCATTGGAAAGAGTTCAATGAAGAAGAAGTGACATGGCTGACATTTGAAGAAAATAATTCTGGCGAATTCATTGCAGAACTGGCACGATTTGGTTTTAAGGACTCATTTGGTGAATGCCAAGCTGACGAAAGTTGAGTCGTACACAATTTTGCCTGTTAACCTAATTGTCAGTGTGCTCTCAGCATGTCAGGAGATCGAGGAAAATGCAGTGAAAACTCATGTTGGTCATATTTTGTTAGCTCGTATAAATAATCTATTGTTAAATATGTTCAAATCATCTAAAGTTTAACTTGATCTTGCATCGTTTTTGTAGAACTTTTCAGTAAAAAGCTTTTCTTCAGTACATCCCAGTTTTCAAAACAATTTTGTTCAATTTTTATTGAGTCAAATCCTTGGCTTCTCTTTCTCGTTTGGCTTTGCCCATTCTTGTACTCGAGCTGAAAAGTGTTTATGATAGATTATAATAAAAAAATGTTTACCTTCTCCATAAAATACATAAAATATTCCAGATAAAATGTTAAAAGAAGCAGCGAATAAAAAGGTAATCATCCATTTGTTTGGCCAACCCTGCAATTAAATATTTGAAATGGGTTAATTACTTGCTAAGAGACACAAAAGTATCATTTAAAACGTGATAATTATAATACTATTCTATGTAGATCAGGTACAAGTCTTGCAACGCCCTAGACTTATATTATAGTTAAGCCCAATTAGCCTAATTAACTCTAGTTCAATTCTGTAAACAATAGCCAGATCTACGGCTGATCAAAACTTCTAATACCATTACTTTTACAGCTTTTCATAACCTACCATAAAATCGATAAATGTGATCAGAATCGGGCCACTCAAGTTAGCAATTGTGGCATAAGTCATCGAGATCGAGGTCATTGTGCCCGAGTACGGGGGAGCGATTGAAAGCAAAGATGTGAAGAAACCACAAATTCCGGCGGAGAAGAAAATACCTAAAGAATCAGTTAGGGAAATCTAGAACTTCTAATACCGTAAGCCATCAGAATGGGCAGAGCGATATATGGGTGTTCGCAGGATGGAAGTGTGGCTAGAGCGATGAGGGAAACGGCTGATCCAATGGCTCCTAAGTTTGCTGTTCGAGTGTATTTGTGTTGTAGCTTGGCAATCAATACTTTTCTCTCTAACTGACTACCACTTGGCCACCGCTGCAATTGCTGCGCTCGCGGAAGACAGGGTTGTAATCTCGCGGTTTGGTTTTTGAAACTCCTTACAAAACTTTAAACGCGTATAACTTTTGACAGAGTACTCCGTAGCAAAAAAGAAAAGCAACATCATGATTAGCGTGAATTTCTGCTTCGAATGGTTTGGCCAGCACATCCAGTAGACCTTTTCGTGTTAGATAGCTCCGTTTGTTCTTAATCAAACTCACCAATCGCTTGAAAAACTTTCACAGAAACATCGGGATCTAAAATCTCGTGTCTCTTCATATAATCCGACAACACGCCAAAAATATTCTTTGAAACGAGTTGAGAAATGAAGGGCACCATTGTGAATAAACCGTTCTAGATCTTCATTTTCAACTTAGTAGATCAGAACTCACCAAACGAATCGGAATAAAGAGAACATCCTTGAAATAAGTCGGCAAAAAGGCTTGCATGATTGAGGCTGAGAAGTTGTAAGCGAATTGACTCGTGTAGTTGGCGAGGACGACTTTACCAAAGAGCAATTCTCTCCAGGGGACGCGATTCTCTTGCTGAATAGCATTTTTCAAAAGTTTTTTTGAAGTTTTACTCACAAAATATTGAGATTGCTGTTTGTTGGCAAGATTTTTCTCGATGTAGATCCTCTCCTCTTCAGAGATCCATTTGTTTTCGTTTGGGTAATTCGTGGCAAGATTTGCCAAACAATTGCCCAGATGATGCCTAAGCTGCCTGAAAATTTGAGTTTAAAGTTTAATAATGGCATTTAAAGGATTATTATACATATTAATATAGACTTTTTAATGATTTTTGATCAAAAAATTCAAGAGCTATTAGGTTGAGGAAAAAGTAATGTCGGTTTTGAATTCCCGTTGTTGGCAATTTTTGCAGTCTTTGCAGTTTTGCAATCATTGCTTCTGCGATTTTTTCAAATAGATATCAGCTAGACACTCTATACTTTCATATCATATTTGACTTTTACAAATTTTTACAAATTTAACAATATTTTCAGATGCAAAATGCAAGATGAAAAGTTTCGACTTCGAGCCACTTTGTGGTATGATTTTAAACAAGGGAAACAAGGAAAACAAGGGAAAGATTAGTCCGGGCCTGGCCTCATCAGATTATTTTTTGTTTCGGTCGTTGAAGAGTTTTCTTATGGGAGAAAAGTTCAGGGAGAATCATGCACAGAACAAAAAAGCAGTGGACACGGCTCGAAAACTCCTCATTTTTTTTTTTTGAGGTTGGGATCAGGGAGTTGCGACGAAGATGGGAACAATTCATCAATAATAATGGCGAATATCTCATTGATTGATGTGCGCTTGTTTATGTTTTTTAGCAATAAACAGTTTTGTGAAAAAAAACGACATTACTTCTTCCTCAACCTAATATTTGTTAATGTTTCATTTGACAATGATTTTTTGTTTTAGCAGCGTGCAAGACTGCTCTTGGTTCTTGGGTCAATAAAATGGAAAGAAATTCTTGAGAATTGATACCTCAAGATTACTAAACAAGAAAAAACAAGAAAAACTAGAGAAAACAAGACAAGAAAACAACAAAACATCTAGAAGATTGGAATAGGCTCATCTTTTGTTGCTTAGGCTTAGGCTTAGGCTTATCATGTGAAGCTGTGAAACCAGCGGCTAATTTGACTATCGTATTTACTCTATTAGTACTGCGCAGTACATCTATACCTCAAAATTACTAAACAAGAACAAAACTAGACAATCCAGACAAACCAAGACAAGAAAACAACAAAACATCTAGAAGATCAGAATAAGCTCATCTTTTGTTGTTTAAGCCAATGTCAAACGCAAAAATCCTGGTTTACTTACTTGTTTACTACAACTAACAGGACAATTTGTTATTCTATTATGGATTTGAAATCTACTATGATCCATGATACTTCACCGCTTAGTACAAGTCAAGGTACAAACCAAAAATGTAGAAGATCGACGGCCATCCAAGCGGTGAAGAGCACAATCCGGCCACAAGGAATGAGGTGAAACCAGCGGCTAACTGAAAACGGAACACTTATGAAGCTATATTTTGTTGCAAACAATATTTATCAATAAAATTGCACCTGATTTCCACTTGTATAAATAGCTCCAACAGTCGACTTCTCACTCGGTGGAAACCATTTGGCGGCCATGCTGTTCAGACACGGGAAAATGAAGCCCTGAATCAAAATTTGTGGTTCAAATTTTGCCTATCGTATTTACTCTATTAGTACCGCGCAGTACTATTTTTTTTGTGATGGCTCAGCTCGCAGTACTATTAGAGATGCAGCACTAGTCTTTCGAACAAAAAAAGTAATTAGGTCCTTACCAAATCTATCAAACTTCATGTAAAAATTTCAAACGCGAAGGAGTGATATTTCTTTCAAAAATTCAGGAAAAGAGTCATATTGACGTAGGAAATTGAAAGATATTCACCCAACAAGCACACAATTACTTAAATAGCAAAGAACTGGGCTACGAAATACCCACAAATGGTCCTAGCAGTCCTATTAGAGGCTGCAGTCCTATTAGAGGCTGCAGTCCTATTGCAGTCCTATAAATATGATATATGCATAACTAGTTTATAATCTTAACTTAGATCTTTCACCTCTCCAAGCCCCATAATAAATCGAGCTCCAAAATAGGCCCAATAGGAATTCGAAGCAAGAAACGGGCCCATCATTGTCATGATCGAGATATCGATAGCAGCAACTGAAAAAGTGAAAGTGGAGTTTGAATCTATTAAACTTACATAGTAGAATCATCTTTGGACCGAAACGATCAGCAATATAGCCAGAAATGGCAATGGTCACCAATCCACCATAGAATGTGGCCGAGAATAGAAGTGATTGCATTGAGGAACTCCAAAGGAGAGGACCCTAAATGAAAGACAATGATCTTTTAAAGCTTTGAGAAATGTGAAAGCATTAAAGCTATTGGATTGGGGAGTATGAAATGGCGGCGCCTTCGGACGAACTTTTGAAAAAAAACTAAACCATAACTTTTCCTCAAACTTTTTGCTAATAAAAATTGAAGTTTTGTTGATTATAAACCAAAATTTCATCCCAATCTGATGCACAGTTCTTAAGAAATGGGAACGGATATGCCAAAAGCCGATTTTTTTGTTTGAAGAAGCCACCATTTCATACTCTTCAACCGAATATAACCAAAACTCACCCCATATCCATCCTCTTTCGCGGACACTTCATCGTATCTCCGATAACACGTCCCACTCGGTTCCACTTGTTGACTCGTATTCGATAAAGTTGCAGGCTTAGCATTTGCAGTTGTGTTTACCTAAATCGACTTTAAAATCAACTCGAATATCAATCACAAACCATACACGTCACTCCCATGCTCAGATTTACTCTCATTGAAACCGTCGCATAAAGTCCAATCATTAACAAAAGACAGATTCGTAATCGATGTGATTTCAACGAGAATAGCGATGGATGAGACATTTTCAGAGAAATATTTGAAAATTTTCAATCTGATTTGTTTCTTTATTGTTAAAGAAGACTTTTTGAAGCTCAGCTGTTCTGAAATTGAAAAATATTGTTGATGAAGTACCTAGACAAAGAATTTAATTGTTATATAAGCTCAAGTTGCATCAAGTTTTAAAAAATTCAAATCTACGAGTATTTTTAGCAGAAAAGAGTCAATGAAACATAAAACTATTGAAAAAATGTCACTTTTACAATGGGTTCATCACGTATTTTGTGGTGAGTAAGTCTAAAAAGGCTGTAGCTAGAAAGAATTTGCATAAATTTTGCGAAAAAAATGGTCTATTAGTGCCCTTTGATGACAATTTTCTCATTGTCTGCTCCAGATAATGATGAAATTGGGATTTCTGATGCAATTGTTCGGCACTTTTCACTCGCACTGATGTAAGCGATAAGGATTATGAGGCACATCGATTACACCCCAATGTAAATTTTTTTTTTCTTTAAAGGGGGGGGGGGGGTATTAATCGCGGCCGGGTGACGATAAAAATTTTTTTACGGCAACCACCTGTTTTTTTATTCTAATATCGCTGATTTTATTATAAAAAGAATAAAAATCACCCGGCTAGAGTGATTTGATGAGTTTACAAATTTTTGGAGACACTGCAAGGCTTGGAGAAAAACAAGATCGTCACTCATCAGACACCTCAGCTAAAAGGCATCTATTTGAGAAAGCTAAAACCACAAGCGACCACAAATGGAAAAAAGATCTAATTGTGTCAATCAAAGCGCCGAAGACGTCCCACGGTGGAGGAGATCCAGTCACTTCTGGTGAAGATGCGCTGGAAATTGATAAGATAGGAAGCCGATTTGAGTAACTGCTGTACTTGAGCGAAGATGAAAGTGAGCAAGAGGAAGAATTATAGATTAACAACTTATTTTTATTGTTTTTTGTGTTTTTTATTTTGTTTTTAAATTTATCTGCAATTAAAACTCAATCGATCTAGACTGTGATGAGGTGTCTGACGATCTTGATGTGACGATCTTGTTTTCCTCCAAGCCTTGCAGCATCTCCAAAAATTTGTAAACCCATCAAATCACTCTAGATTTGTATTCTTTTTATAATAAAATCAGCGATATTAGAATAAAAAAACAGGTGGTTGCCGTAAAAAAATTTTTATCGTCACCCGGCCGTGATTAATACCCCCCTTTAAATCAAAAATTCGAACACTACAAATTTTAAGTTAGGCCTAAAAATGAACGGAAAAAATAAAATAATCCAAAATTTCAGAATCAAAGGCGGCGACTTTGATGTTAGTGAAATTTCATATTTCATCGAATCATAAAGTGTTATATGTCATTCAATAGCCCTTATCACGCTCTTTCAGAATACTGGATTGAATTTTTGTGGAATTCTATTTTTCCGTGAAGTTTCTTCACTATTCTGCGCCGAAAAGTCAAAATAATTTTTTTGACGAAAATCTAGCTGATAAACTAGGCTCAAAAAGCAAATTTCTGAATTCTACGCAAAAAGTTAGTCGGGAACTGTTTTTTAATTTTGTGTTTTGGTCAATGGAAACGCGAGCTCTGAAACCTTACATCTTGACCCATTTGTCCATGAGCATAAATTCATCGGAAATGCAGCCAAAGAGGGCATTGAGGCAGTTCACAGCAAGCTAGAATCTGAATTTGCTCGAAACAAGACAGCACCACAAGAAGAGCGACTAATGAACTCGCTCAAGTGGCTGATAAGGGCTATTGAATGACATATAACACTTTCTGATTCGATGAAATATGAAATTTCACTAACATCAAAGTCGCCGCCTTTAATTTTGAAATTTTGGATTATTTTATTTTTTTCCGTTCATTTTTAGGCCTAACTTAAAATTTGTAGTGTTCGAATTTTTGATTTAAAGACGATTACTTTTGTTACCTATGTAAAGCGCATTTCTCCCGTCTAATGAGTTTTCTAAAGCACTATCTTTAGGGTTGCTTTCAAATACTACTGCTAGTTTTATTTAATAACCCACGTTTTTATAACATACAAGGCTATCATTGTCGCAGCAAGGTATCACGCGGGTTCAAGGACAATAACTCGTTGATTGAAACTTCATTGATTTTCTGGGTTTTTTTGTATTTAAAAAAAAACTACAATCTATTTCTAACTGATTGAACAATTCGATTCAAAAACAGTGAAATTTATCTTTTATTGTTGTGAAAACCTTTGACAATTCTGTGTTTTTCAATATTTCATATATAGATAATTTATTTCATTTTTTAAAGTTTAAGATGGATCACAATGATGCCAACATTACGCTGATTGGCCCTTTTCCTATTTTGTAATGTCTGGAATATCTTTTTCATCGGACGATCGATAGACCCATGATTGAACTTTTGCTAAAATTCTTTTTATTTAAATAAACGATTAGAGTTACCTTGCCCATTCAGCACAAAGTTAACTCCTGATAAAACGTGTAACAGAGATGCAAGAGAAAAGATGATAATCCATTTGTGAGGCCAATTCTAGAATATTTTGATGAGCTATTCAGATTTTTGGGTCATTTACCATGTATTCAATTAATGAAACTAGAAGTGATCCAAAAATGTTCGCAAAAGTTGAATAAGCTCTTCCAATTGAGGACATTGTGCCTGTGTAAGGAGGAGCGATTGAAAGAGTTGAAGTGAAGAAACCGGGAATCGCGCAAGAGAATGAGAGACCTGCAACGAATAGTTGAACAGAGTGGATAATTGAAGTTCATCCAAGAAATAGATCTTTTAAAGGAGGGCCCTGAATTAAGACCGATTCTCATTCTAATTCGCACAAAACCAAATTATATACGAGAGCGGTTTGCCAGATGGCGAACGATTTTGCAGCCGCACAAAGAACACCTCGTTCATAGGGACTTTTTAACCAAACCTAGCACAGTCAACCACTTCTTTAGTTAAGTTCATAGCAAACTCCTGCTTACCAATTGCCGTCAAAATCGGCAATGCTAAATACGGTCGTTCGCATGAGGGAATTGTAGCCAATGCCAGAATTGAAAGAGCAATGCCAAAAGAACCTAAATTTTTTCTTATCCTGTCTTAGCTTTCAATTTACCGATTCCCTGAAAAATTTTCACAGCTTTATTCGAATCAACGAGATTTCTCTGCTTGAGAAAATCGGAGAGCATCGCCAATGGGATTTTGAGGACAAATTGAGCTACAAACGGGATCATTGTGTAGATACCGTTCTAAATTAAAGATCGTCATTGAAAAAAAAGTTGTAAGCTATCAGAAGAGTCTCTGATTTAGACTCACTAGATGAATTGGCAGTAGCAAATGATCCTTGAGATACGTAGGGAGAAAAGCTTGCAAAAGAGTGATCGAGAAGTTGAACGCGAATTGACATCCATAAACGGCACCGGGAACCTTTCCGAACACAAGTTTTCGCCAAGGAACTTTATTCTGATTCTGCAAAACAATCTTCTCAATGTCATTCCAGATCTCACAAAAGTCATCGATTGCTTCTTTGTTGCCAATGTTCGTTCAATGAATTCCTCTTCATCTTTCGAGATCCATTTATTCTTGCTTGGCGTATTAGAAACAAAAACTTTCCAAATAATTGACCAAATTATACCATAGATTCCTAAATTTTATTACTATTGTATACTATTTACTTTAGAAAAGTTGGTTCTTTACCGTGTATGTAAAATATGGCAGGCCAGCCGAGGGGAGAAGTGCAAAGAACGGCGACGAGGACAGAGGTCAAACTGGCTGCTAGCTGAAAAGTGACCAATACAATGTAAACTCTTATTGGGATAACATAAAGTTTGAAAATTTAAAAACTTATTCGTATACGCGTTCTTTAATAATCAATATATATAAAATAAAATCTCCGTCACACTTTTGGTGGACCTGGAGGAAGTCGTTACCTCTTTTCCTCCCATCTCAACACCAGAAACTACATCAAAATACTAGACTTTTTTGTTTTGTTACTTTTTATTTGGCATAGCCGTTTTTTCGAAACCCGTCAAGTTAGCTTATAAGTTAATTAACCAATAATTATCTCTTAAAAACCTAATCAAATTGACAAAAACAAAATTTCACTATTAAGAATGTACCAAAAGCTCGGGACTCCAATCTCATCGGATTGCTTCAAATCAGCTGCCGCTCTCGCCAAGGGAGACAGTAAAGAAAAATGGGAGAAAATGATGCGCGCCCCGTCACAACGGGCAACAATCTTCGTGCAAAACATTCCCGAAGAGAAGTGAGTTACAAAAGTTTTCGAAATTCATGGTTTTCACAAATTTTCCAGATGGTTAGTCCGTTTCTAAAGGCCACGCCAGCGTCAAGGGCTCGGGTTCGAATCTTGGGAGAGTTCTTTCTTGGGTGAGTTTTGGTGGAAACCAGCGAACTGCCATGCTATTCAGACAAGGAATTATAAAGCCCTGAATGTGATTAAAACGTGAAGTTTTTTTTATGGAAAGAGATCAACGTTGGGCTGGGTATAAGGCCTTGGGTGATAGGATAAAAGCCGCTGATAAGAGCCGCCGTGAGGTGGCTTTTATCAGTTTGTTTTACTTAAAACCCAATATCGATTACTCCAGAAAATATTAGCCCCAACTGCGGTAACGATAGCTTAAATTACGACTTTTAAGCTCAAATTTGCTTTCATTCCGTTACAAATTTGCTCATAAAATCGGTCTAACTTTCATCAGTTTTAAAATTCTTTTACCTGATTTCCTGTTGTATAAATGGCTCCAAGTGTCGACTTTTCGTTTGGTGGAAACCAGCGAACTGCCAAGCTATTCAGACAAGGAATTACAAAGCCCTGAATGTGGTTAAAACGTGAATCAAATAAAAAATAGGAAACTTAGTTACAAAAGCGATCTAACTTTTATCAGTAAAAGCGAAATTAAGCCAAAGACCTCTCCCATTCCCAGCACAACCCTCGTCCCAAAGTAGGCCCAATAGGTCTGCTCGGCGAGAAAGGGACCAAGTGCCGACATTATCGACATATCAATCACCGCAACTGGAAATATCAACATTTTCCTCTTAACTTTATCAACTCACACATGACAATCATTTTCGGCCCAAAACGATCAGCAAGATATCCAGAAAAGACTGTTGTCATCAATCCGCCCCAGAAACTCGCCGAGAATAAGAGTGCTTGCATTGAAGGGCTCCAAAGTAGGTGGCCCTAGAAAAAGTGATATTTCGATAAAAATTAAGTCTCATTTACTCCATATCCATCTCTTTTTGCTTCACTGGCATCTACGGGTCGATAGCATTTCGGATTCTCAGGGGTGAAGTTTGAAGAGATATCGGAAAGTCTGACTTCACTAGGTCGTACAAAAGCTGTAGAATTGACCTAAGAATTTGACTTTATTATTTAGTTTAATCTAATGAATTTAGGCAGCAATTTTACAATTGGCTTAGGCCTCTTGGGGCTACGATATCAAGCAAAATAGGCTCAACCAAGTACTTGGATCTTGCCTTGACTGGGCTAGATCTGGCCCTGAAAATTAGGGTTTAGATTTGTTAGGATTGGCTAAACGAAGTATCTTTTAGTTGAACTGTAGCCAGACTGTGACTTGATAATATTAATAGCCGTTTTACAGATAAAGAGATCCGCCTTGGATCTCGGCTTTATCGTTTTCAGTCTAGATTAGGGTAATCAGTTTAGATTAGCTGGATTACGGTATTCAGTCTATATTAGGATATTCAATCTAGATTAAGGCATTCAGTTATGATTAGCTGGATTACGGTATTCGGTCTCGATTAGGATACTTACTTACTTACTTTTACGAAAAAGAATCTTGTACACAAAGAAATTTAAATCTGTATAATATTGGATCTTTGATAAAAACGTGATAAAATGATAAAACAAGGAAATGCAATCATTTTGAATTCAAGTACATCCCACTTGGATTTACCATGCAAGTGATCGCCATCCCTAAACTGATCCTCATCGACGCCACCGCAAACAAACCAAACATCATCAGAAAACATATCTTCAGTCGATGAGATTTTAGTGAAAATAGTGGGAAATCAGAAATCTTTTCAGGCATCTTTTTGACTTGAAAAGAAATCTTCAAAAATCATTCAACCTCAAGCAATTCCCGAGACTACTCTGTGTCATGCACGGATTTGCATGTTTTCCGCGACTACAAACTAAACAAAAAGGTGTGAACTCAACGATGTGTGATTTAAAGGTGTTAGGTGTTGCATGAAGATCAAACTAAAGGCTTTTTGAGGTTCGGAGTTGAATCTTGAGGCCACATCAGAATTGGGGTATAGAATTGACGAATGGCAACTTCTTTGATTGATCATTGTTTTAAGTTTTAAGTCATTCTTTCAATAAGATCTAACTTATCTCATGTTTTTCATGTTGAATCTAAATCTGTCAAAATGCGCTTATTAGCCTGGAAACGCGAGATATTGACAAACGAACTAAGTATTGGATCTGGTTTTTAAAATCGAATTGGTCTAATCTCGAATCCAAGATTAAATGTTAATTTGTTTTTGTTAAATGAGAATTTTTGACACTACGTTGCTTTCCTATTGGCGCCGTCGTTATCGCGTCGCGTAATTGCTCTCTTTTTAACTGTAAAATCATTTTTCTTGTCAGTTTTTATTTTTTAAGCATTAATAGTGGATAATTTGTGTAGATTTTAGACTTTTAACCCATTCGCTGCAGCGCTAATTGAGCTATTTTCATTCAATTAATTGGTTTTTTTTTTTGCGGTTTTTCAGCATTACATGTATATTCCAATTGTAACAGATCTACAAATTAAGTGGGCAAAAAAGACGTGTCATATTTACCCGGAGTCAATGCAGCCTCTGGTTTTGCATTGAAATGTTCCATAATAGCTCTAATCTTATAAAGCCGATCTCCTGCAGGATCCAGTTCATTATCACAAAAACGCAGGTTTCGAAGAATAGATTCAAATTTTGCTCTTGACATAATGTGGGACATGTGGGAAAATCCTCCTAATCGAGGCCTGCTACGTAGTCACGAATCCTCGGTAATTTGACGATTCCCATTTGAAGATACAGAGCCTGGAAGAGCTTGAAAGATTATGCATCGAAATCCTGCCAGTTTGTTTTCTTTTTTCCATGTTTATTAGATTCGCCTACTAACATATTGATTAATTTGTCGTCGATAAAATAAGAATAATAATCGATAGGATCTTGAAAAGTACTGAAATTCAAATCGTTCTTCATCAAAAATAAATGGTGTAGGAGACTCTCTTAAACCTTTCCAACCATCTGGATAAACTGCTTCGGAGTCAAAAATGTCAAAAAAGGGCTTGGTCCGCAGACGAAAAAAAAGAAAAAACGCTGCGGTTTCGAATGGGTTAAGCACCAAATGACGATGAATACATTAATTTGCTTCAACTTCTATTCTGGACGTCCTAAGTTGTTCAAATTTCGCTAATTCTTGAGACTTTTTGTTAAACAATTGTTCAATGGTTGTTTTCTTTAATTGTTAGGTATATTTTGTTAACTCTTGGCCAATCGTTATTGCAGTAAAGTTAACCGATAAATTTGTTGACTTAAAAAAAATGGCACTTTAAAAAATTCAATAGCAGACCGAAACTCGATTCGAAATTTTCGATCTGGACCGATTCGAGCCGGATTTTCGGATTTTCGGACCGAATCGATTCGGTCAATTAAACAAAACAACAATTGAACAATTGTTTAACAAAAAGTCTCAAGAATTAGCGAAATTTGAACAACTTAGGACGTCCAGAATAGAAGTTAAAGCAAATTACTGTATTCATCGTCAGATGGCGCTTAAAAGTCTAAAATCTACACAAATTATCAACTACCGTATTCTCTCTAATAGTAGTGCGCACTACTATTTTTTCAACCCCCTCCTGGACCGCAATACTATTAGAGAGTGCACTACTATTAAAGAGTTTTATCATTTACCAAAGTAAGACAGATATAAGATTTGTTCCAAAAATTCTTGCAAAAAAAGTAACTTTCTAAAAATTTATTGGCTTCTGATAACAAAAAGTTAACTAAACAAAAAAATCTACAACAGAATCATCATCCTTATCCAGTTCAATATTTTTGCGTTGATCCTTTACTCGTTGATCGATTGTTCGAGACGAGCATTGGCGAGAAGTGTTGCGCCTTCAGGAATCGGTCCTTCTTTTTTGAAGCAATGAATGAGACCAATTCTTCATCACCTTTCCACATTAACTTGGCTCGGAATTAAATCATTTTTCACTCGCATCTTCTTTGCCCGCATTTCTTGAATCCAAGTAACAAGATCCTTGTCAAAATCGATATCCTTGAGCTTTCATCCACCGCCTTTGATTCGTTTTTTTCCTTTTCCGTTATCTCTGTTTTGTTTCTCGAGTTCTTCCTTTTGCTGACGCCATTTTTGGATGTTTTGACGACTGACTCCAAATTTTCGCGCTGCAGCCGACTTATTCTTTATTTTTTCAGCAAAATCGATCGCTTTCAGCTTTGTTTGAACGTCGAAACATCGTCGCTTTTTCGCGGATGGTGCATCCGATTCACACGAAGATTCCTCGGCAACATCATTGGCCATGTTGTAGCTAGCGTCTTGCTCGGTCACTTGATTGTGGATCCTCTTGAAGAATTGCACATGTTCCTCGTGTTCACGACGAGCTCGAAAATTCTCGAATCCATCAAGCGAGTATCGAGATCCATACCTAAAGAAAAAGATTATTTGGACAATAGTAAAGGTGACCAACAAAAATTATATAATATTAAAATCGAACATGATGGATTATTTTCTAGGATTGAGCTTTGATAACAATAAAGTTAAGCGCCACAAAAGGTAAGTCAATCTCAAACTTTATACAGGTATATAAGAGCAAAAATGACTATAGCTTTGCGCGGAATTCGTAAGAAAATTTGAGTTAATGTGCCACTAAAACAACGTGTGGAAACAAAAAAAAGATGCTTAGGCACTTTGCACAACAATTTTAGTTTTTTGCTAAGTTTTTCAGGTGAAGAATAGTTGAAAAATGAATAAAAAGCCTCGTTTTTGTTTGCTTGAATAGCTTTAGAATGCAACATAAACATAAAGATATTCAGTCAAAAAGGTTGAGATGAAAAAGGAGCACAATAAATGCAAATTTTTGAGGGTGCACTACTATTTTTTCAACCCCCTCTCGGACCGAATACTATTAGAGAGAATACGGTATTCGGTCTGGACCAGACCGAATCGATTCGATTCGAAGAAAAAAGCCAGAACGAAAACCAAGTCTACTACGTACTATTATAGCTGTTTTCTGCTTCAAAAGAAAACAATTTATCAATCATCATAGATCGCCGGACAGCCAGGATTCTCCAATTTTATCCTCTCCATGTATCGATTACATATCGTAACTTTATATAATCCACCCTCGTTAATCACTTCTCGATAATGTCTCAAATATTTACGATAAGGCCGAAGAAATCTATCACATGATGTAGCCTGAATTTTGTCAAGCATCTCAGCATTTCTTTTACATTTTACGTACATCTCCAGTTTTAATTCGATGACTGTACTCCCCGTCAGCACACATTCGATGCAAAATCTTGTCGAATTCTGTTTGAGATAAAACGTAGCCCGGGATTTTCTTTCCATCCGGCAAACGCTCATTGACTCGTTCGAGAAACCACTAAATTTGAAGGGTATTTTGGTACTTACTAGGTTAGCCGATAAGTCTTTAGACACTTTTTTCAACTAACGTTTATAAATAAAACATTCACCAATTGATTTACAATTGGCTTCATTAGAAAGGCCTATTATTTTTCTACAAAATAACGTTTGAATCTTGTGAAAATGTTTTGTCTATGGTTTTTTGTAGCGACGCGAAGTCGGGTAGTCAAAAAACGACCCGAATACGCGATTTAGGCACTTTCTTCCAAATAAATCTATGTTGGTGTTAATAGAAAAAAGGTAGAGCACAAAAAGTTAGGTATATAGCCGAATTTTCAGGAGAATCTGCTCAGCCGATTTTTTTTTGTAGAGCTTTATATCGAATTTTGCGAAAAATGCAGGCGAATTTGCTTGGAAAAGGACTTAAATTGTCTTAAAAGATAGAAAAATAAATAATAAGCATTTTCTATTTAGGGCCATTTGTAGACCAATTGGTGAATTTGTCATTTATAAACGCTAGTAGAAAAAAATGTCTAAAGACTGATGAGGGGGTAGGCTAGTTTCCGGGGAGTGGGACAAATGCGACCTTTTTTTTTGCGCACCCGGACATTTGCGCACCTTTTTTTCCGCACTTAGCCCATTAGCGGACCTTTTTTCGCGTTTTAAAAGAGCTCTAAAAGCTAATATTAACCAATTTCTATTCCAAAAGTTGTTTTTCTAGGTAATTTGAGGGTGTCGAATTCAAATTTTGACATAACAGAGCGTGTGGAACCAATTTGAAAGACAAAACGGCTAGATCAAATTACAGAAAATTGTCGATCTTTCTCTTTGTATAACTCCGTCCGTTCGCTTCCACAAGCTCTGATATGCCAAAATTTCGATTCTACGCCCTATAATTACCTAGAAAAACAACTTGTGGAATAGAAATTGGTTAATATTAGCTTTTAGAGCTTTTTTAAAATGCGAAAAAAGGCGCGCTAATGGGCTAAGTGCGGAAAAAAAGGTGCGCAAATGTCCGGGTGCGCAAAAAAAAGGTCGCATTTGTCCCACCCCCAGTTTCCGCAACTTTTTTTTGCGCAAAGGGCTATTTGCGCAACTGGGTCGTTTGCACAACTCGCCATAACTTTCTTCTAAGTGGGCCAATCTTTATGATTTTGGTTCCATTTTGTAGATCTCAATAAGTGCAAGAAAATGAAATCAAAATCATAAAGATTGGTCCACTTAGAAAAAAAAGTTATGGCGAGTTGCGCAAACGACCCAGTTGCGCAAATAACTCAAAATAACACAAAAAGCAAAAAAAGTTGCGGAAACTAGCCTACCCCCTGATGAGCCAACCTAATACAGGTGCGTCATAATTATGGACCTAGG